AGGGACCTGGACAGGCTGGAGAGCTGGGCAGAGAGGAACCTCCTGAAGTTCAACAAAGGCAAGTGCAGGGTCCTGCACCTGGGGAGGAATAACCCCATGCAGCACTACAGGCTGGGGGTTGACCTACTGGCAAGTAGCTCTGCAGAGGACCTGGGAGTCCTGGTGGACAACAAGTTAAGCATGAGCCAGCAATGTGATTAATGTGTACAAGTATCTGCAGGGAATGTGTCGAGAGGATGGGGCCAGACCCTTCTTAGTGGTTCGCAGCAACAATAGGATGAGGGGCAATGGGCAGAAACTGCAACACAGGCAGTTCCATCTGAACACGAGGAAAAACTTCTTTCCTGTGAGGGGAACAGAGCACTGGCACAGGTTGCCCAGAGAGGTGGTGGAATCTTCTTCGCTGGAGATATTCAAAAGTCATCTGAACAGGGTCCTGGGCAATGTGCTCTAGATGCCCCTGCTTGAGCAGGAGAGTTGGACTAGATGATCTCCAGAGGTCCCTTCCAACCTTGGCCATTCTGTGATTCTGTGAGTCTATGAAATTGCAGGCCCAAGTTTTTCCCACCATGACACATCTCTAAGTTTAAAGTATAGTCAGTAGAGAAAGAGGAGTAACCATGGAAGGCAATTTAACCCCCTTAAAATATGAATTGTCTTCTAGAGGTCCTGTTTCCACAGCCTACAAAGGAGCCCAGGATAATTCTTGTCCTAACTAGAATGCCCAAGATTTCTTATGTTTCAATTTGAAAATATAATTGATGTATGATTTATATATAAAGCAATAAATGTAATACATTTTAATTCATCACCTGATTCAATTCTTTTTTCACCAGACTGATACATTTGCTGATTTTGATACAATGACAGACCGATTATTGGATGAAATTATTCAGCATATCCAGTTGTACAACCTCTCCATATCCCGGATAAGGTAAAGCATTCTGATAATTAATAGTCTGTAACTGTATGTGGTCTTAAGAAGCTTTTAGTGGAATTAGCTTTTCCAGAGGTGCCCTATGTCAAAAGTCTTTGAAGTCAGTGAGATGAATTTTTACACTGTTTTAGCTAGAAGAGTATCTAGGAGGCTGAAGAAAATATGAAACAAGAATTAAAAGTTGTTCATGAAAACTTTGGTAGAGTCCACTCAAGAGAACAGGTTATGCCACCCTTAAGTGTGACTTAAATAAAATACAGATTGGTTTTGTGTTAATGTAAATCTATCTTTCCTAACAGTTTTATTGGACATTCCCTTGGTAACGTCATCATTCGATCTGTACTAACTCGCCCCAGGTTTCGCTATTACCTCAGCAAATTACACACCTTCCTGTCCCTCTCTGGGCCTCATCTGGGAACCCTTTACAACAACAGTACTTTGGTTAGTACAGGTAAGAGTTAATGGGAAAGCTATGACTTGCTGTAGTCCCTGGCAGAGTGCATGAGAGAGCAGCGCCCCAGAGGTAGTAGTAAATTGTGATGACGTGAGTAATACACTGAAGCTATAGAAAAATTTTGCTGCAGACTTCAAACCCACAAAGATTTCCTGCTGGAGCTGGGTTCAGCATCATGCGGAGCTTGCAACCCGTTTCCTGAATCTGCGTATGCACACACGATGAAGAGCGAGTGCCAGAGTCCAGAGCCCATTTCTCACTCCCTGAATCCATCCTGCTATTTTGACCTGAGCTCTGGGAAGGTTGCAGTGAGCTCTGGGCTCTCAGTACTTACTACTAGATCCAGCACCATGCTCCCTGGAAAGGCCAGGGGTGCATAGCAGCACAAAGTGACCTTACTTCCACTATACTCTTCCACTTCCTTTTATACTGCCTATAAAGTCAGGCATCTCCAAGGCTTTGAAAAGACACTTACAGTGATATGTGAAATTAATCTCTCAAAATCTGACCTTCCTGAATCTTTATGCTACCATGATACTGGAGAATACTGCAAGAACCTTAGACTTTTCTTCTCGTTGATTAGCAATACAAGAGGAAACGAGGACTTAATACTGTTACAATACCACTGTCAGTGTATTCAGCTATAATTTATTATCATAGGCACATCTTTTTATCTCTTATTAATCCTGTGGTCAATAATTAGCAATCGTGGTAAAAATTATGCATCAATTGTCATTCCAGGCCTATGGCTCATGCAGAAGCTGAAAAAATCAGGGTCACTTTTGCAACTGACTTTCAGGGACAATGCGGATCTGCGCAAATGTTTCCTCTATCAGCTCAGCCAAAAAACAGGTAAGTAGTGCTTGAAGTGGGTGTGCAAATGTCAGGAACTTTTCTGGAAAATCGTGCTGTATTACTATGTTCTCCAGAAAGTAAAGGAAATCTGCTTTTAGTCACTGTTTTTTTCTGTAAATGTCCTTACTTTCAGTAAGATCCACTCTGTCTAATAGCTATTTCATCCGTGCATTTCCTCTGCAGTGGTCACCAGTGAATATAGCTGCCAAATTGTTAATGCCAAATAAACCTTCCATGGTGCAGTAAACATGCATCTAAGTTTATATTCTGCAAGCAAGAAATATCATCCTTGACAGGCCACCATTGCTTAATTTATGCTGCTAGATGAAAACCATTTTTTCTTTTTTTTTCCAAGTTTAGCATCTCTTGTCTCTAGGAAATACGATGCCGTGAGATGAAGAGGAAATTTTATTGATGTCTATTGTGACACCTCTGTACTACAGAGAGAGATGTATGGTCTAACACTGGAAAAAAGATGTCTAAACAGAAATCTTTTACCCTTTCCTTGATCTGTCATGAAGAACTAAAATAATTCAAGATTTTCCAAAGAAAAGAAAGCAAGCACAATCCATCTGTTCAAGCAAATATTTTTCTTCTAAGAGTTATTTTTAATATTGCATGTATTGAAACTGGTGCTAAGGTATACACTCACAGAATCACTACTTGATATTTAATTATCTTCTCATGCTCTGGTGCATTACTAATAGGAAACAAAGATTACATTAAGACAAATACAATGGTTTGATAATTTTATGAACACAGTTCATGACCTGATAAGTGAAGGGAAGCTGCTGTATCTTGGCATTACTTGAATTTCCTGTATAATTCCCTGGCTCTCATTTCTGTGGAGTACAGTGAGATGTTTACTTTATGACTGTCATGCTCAGATAAAATTGGGTCTACACAGGAAGCTAACATGATAGCTTCACAGCCAAGAATTCCCAAGCACGTGCTGTGAGCCAGAGCAATATGTTGTTTTGTTAGCTTAGGAGACTGGAGATGTAATAAGCTATAAATGAAGGTGCCGTCCCTTCAAAAGCAGGAAGTAGAAAGTTAAATGTCAAGAGGGTTGTCTGTAAAATCAGAATGATGCAGGTAGGTGCTTAGGGGAAAAATCTGAAGTAGGTCCAGACATGAGCGTATGATCTGGCATACTGAGTCAGAACAGAGGTCCCCCTAATCCTATACCCTTCTTCCAAAAGTGGCTGAGAGCAGCTACAGATGGAGAAGTTGAAGGGGGTGGTATTGTTCCCTCTTTTCCAGATAACTCTTTGAGTATCCAAAAATTTCTGACTTTCTTCTTAAAGGAGTAGTCCCTGCTTAAAGATTAATTTCTTTCAATTCTCTTTGTGGTTGTCTTGGAAGAAAAATTGAACAATTGTTCACCACTGAGCCTCTTCCAAAAATTTTTTTGGATGTGGTAGCACCCGCTGTTGTCCTCTCCTACCTTATAGCCCAGAGTGGAGTTTACAAACTTAATTGGTTTCGTTGTAGGATGACCTAAGAAAATGATAGGCAGCTTCAGCCAGGCTTGGTAGAGGGAGCCAGCAGTACTCTTCCTTGTGGAGATGAGAAAAATCTAGAAAGGGAAGACCTGGTCCTGGACAGCTTTTCTGTGAGGGGAAGGGAAGTAGAAAGGTCAAAAATACAGTTCCCCTGTGTTCAGGATTTAGTCTCTGGGCTAATAGACTGTATCCATTGGACTGTGTCCGTTTTCCACCTCTTCTGCTGAATGGAGGTGACTGAGGGCCCAGGAGGCCACAAACAGAGGAAGCAGCACGAACCTGTATCCAGCTATATCCACTTATTTATGCAAGAACACCCATTGACTGTGGTGGGGATGTTCATTTTGTTTACAGTGTTTAGAGGCATAAATATTTGCAAGATTTAATCAAACATTATTTGGAACAGAAACAGTTCTTATTTTTCTCCTGATATACAGTTGACATATATGAGCATATATAAAGAACAAATAGTTCACAGAGGTAGCAGAAATATTTTTAAGCTGTTCTTCTAAGCTCTTCTTCTTTGTGCTATATATCAATTTTTCTTCATCTGCTTTGCACTGTAGATTTCAAAATGTGCATGAACATGACATAGTCATGCTGACATGGTTTATATTTTCGTTGCTGTGCATTATTGTGATGAATGTGTTTAATGCATTTGTTTGCCACAGGTCTTCAGTACTTTAAAAATGTTGTGTTAGTGGCCTCACCTCAAGACAGATATGTACCCTTTCATTCAGCAAGAATAGAAATGTGCAAAAATGCACTTAAAGACAGACACACAGGTATGTGTAAGATCTTTTCCATGTTTACAAAGCTGCTGAGGAATTGTGCTGGTTTTTGTGTAGCTGAGGTCATTGCATCAGAAGGGTTTTTCAGGAGCATGATGAAAACTCAAATTTTGTTTGGAAGGAAAGGAAGTGGAAGAAAGGAAGAAAGTGTTCTCTTCCCACAAGAAATGACTGAAATCAATAAAAAAAAAAAAAGCTTTTTAAGATGCTCTTTGTCTGAAGACAAAAAATTTCAATCGGGTTGTAATCAAAGGGTTCTTACTCCTTCTTCTCCATCCCTCTGATTTATTTTAAGAAAAGTCATGATAATAGAACTAGTTCCCAACACTGTTTTTCTTCAGTCTACTGAATTGCTAGTGTTGTCTCACCTTTGTTTCACATAATGAAATCTCATTAAACACATCCAAAGTCAGTGGGTTTTCCCTTTGATTTCAACAGTCTTTGAATGAGTGCAGTGTGATTTAAGAGGCAATCAGATCTAAAATCGTCTTGTTTTGTAATAAAATCTGCCAGGCACCTCAGGACACATGCCATCAGAGGCCTAGCTCTCCTGTGAGCTCAGACTTTATGCTGTCCCATGTATTGCCTTTGTTATTAGCGGTTTCCCTTATTAGAAAATGCTCCGTAGGTTCTCTTTGATACCACTTCGAGAAACAATGTGCAGTGTAATTTCGTACCTGTTTCACATCTGTGGTTATCTAGAAATGGAGGAGCTCCTTGGAAATATGAAGAGACAGCTAGGCCCAAGAGTGAACACGGTTTCCTTCTCATATCTTAACTAAAACACAACTCTGTTTCTTTCCTACCTCAAATAGGAATCGAAAGGCGAGCTCCTAGCTCAGGTGGTTGTTTCTCAGAGATATGCATGGACTAGCAGTAGCCAGGTCTACGTTCAGTGTAGATCATTTCATGAGTGTGGCGAGCTTCCTGAGCAGTTGCCATTCTGTAAACTTCTGAACTACCTGTAGAGAGGCACGATGTTCTTGATGAAGTAGATTCCCCAGAGAAACCCTAATGGACCTTTATTTCTTGCCAGACCCCTTTTCATTCCGCTTCACAAACAGCATGATTCCAGCCTTCCTTCCCTGAATGAAATGAAAGGGTTTCCTTCCACTGCAGGAGAAATGGGACTGAACGCTGAGGAGCTTCAGCAGCCCTCTTGAGGTGGCAAATGGCTCCTCTTAGATTAACAGCACTCGGCTAACCCTGGCAATGGATGGCTCTCTAGGCACTTACTTTTTGGCATTGCTTTGATTTTCCTGCCAATTGTCACTGTGATTAAACTCCACTGGAAGGAAAGAAGGGATCTGGCAGCTTTGGTATGTAGATGTGACATCTAAAAATATTTTGCAGGTCCTGTCTATGCAGAGATGATTAACAACCTGCTCCAGCCTTTGATTGGGGCGAAGGACTGCACTTTAATACGACACAACGTGTTCCACGCTCTGCCAAACACCGCCAACACGCTGATAGGCCGGGCTGCCCACATTGCAGTGTTGGACTCCGAACTTTTTCTGGAGAAATTTTTCCTCGTGGCAGGACTCAACTACTTCAAATAGTGCCTGACGTACTGGGTAACAGAGGCAAAACATTTTGTTGAGCGGAGTAGAATCCCTTAGCCCAAAAAGTGCGGTATCAGAAACGAGATCAGGTGGGACTTTCAAACTCTCTCCATTTTCATTTCTGTTTCAGCAAATAAAGTGCTATGACTTTGAGGTATTCAAGCTTCCAAGTACTGGTGCTTTTGGAAGAAATAAATATCCCTCTTCAGTTTCTATGCTCTTTGTCCGCATAAAGACCTAAGTCACCTCTGAAACAGAGAATCAGAATAAGAAGGCTAGTTCTCTAAATGTGATTGGACCAATAGGATTTCCATTTCTCTCAATTATTGACCCAGGAACTTGGCTGTCCTTGATTTAATGTTTATTTATGTATTAACAAAGCTATACATTCGTAGCACTTTGGGGGTGGTTAACACAAGAGGAAGTAAGTATATATGAACTCAGGTTAAAACCTCCTTTGCGATGAACTGAAAAGTCTGAAAAACATTTGTGAAACTGTTCCATGTATTGAAAAAAAAAAAAAATACTCAGATGGTTCTGTTATTGGTAATCATTTGTTACATGTATACATTGAAAGTGCGGAAAGGGAGGAAATATTTTAAATAGAATGAAGAAATTTTGTTGTTTTTTTTTTTTTTAATTTGGAAAGTTGTTTTTTTTTTCCAAGTTAGAAACTGCCAGAACAAGAGGAATCTATTGGAATACTTGTGAAATATCAGTGGAATCTGTAAACACTTCTTCTGTTTACGTTTATAGAGTATCATTATTGTGCTTCTCACTATGACCTTGGAGATTTTTACTTTCAAATGTGTGACTAGGTACATTTACCCCAACGAATAACATTTTTATTTATTGCTCTGAGTGAAATTCAAAACCTAGCCAGTAATGCAACTACAAAACCAATCAGAGGAAAATGGTCTGGTGATACAGAGTGGTGAGGATTTTGGAAAGTTTCAAAATACAAAGATATCTTCTTAGGCTTCTCTGCAATGCCATACGAATGCTGTACTAATGTCCATTTACAGTGCTATGTACGTTCTAATCATTGTATGGTTACAGCTGGTTGAAGCATTTAAATTTGTATTCATACAAGGATATTCTAATTCTTTTTAAGGGTTTGGAAAAGAACCCATTTTTCACTTTTTCTAGTTTTTTTGAAATTTTTAATTAAAATTGTTATCAAAAAGTTATCAGCATTTAAAATGACAAATTTCAAGAACTTTCTATGTTTTCATACCATTTTGATAAATTTTCAATGTCACAGCCATTTTTTCAGAAAAAGCGAAAGGGAGTAATTCTTCATAAATATTTTTTGTTTGAAAGAGAGACAGTTTTTTAATGCAAACATTTTTTATTTAAAAACATAAATGACCAGCTCTCCATATCTTCTGACAAAAGCAGGAAAAAATAACAAAGATGGTTCCAGGTGTCAGGACTCTCAGCAGTTAATTAAGGCCAAGACAATGGAAATCCCTGAAATAGGTGAGTTAAAAAAAAAAAAAAAAGTGCACGAAAAAGATAGTGTTTAAGTTGCACAGAATTAATTCAGAAAAAGAGTTGCTAGCAGACTGGCAAGCGCTGCTGAAGAACAAGGCTGCTTTGATACATAGGTATGTTTTTAAATTGAAAGCAATAAAAAGGGATATACAAAAGGGTGGGATTAAGATCACCTGAAAATAGGAAGTTATATTGCACCTAAACATCATCCTCTGCCCCCTGGAAGGTCACACTGAAATTAAATAGAAACTCTTACATGGTATGTTTCAATATTGACAAGTTTTGTAGACATTAAATATTACTGCAGCACTTGAATAAAATAGGTAGATACTGTTATCTCTTTTCCTTTTATAAACTGGCAGTTTAAAGCCAAAAGCTGGATTTACCCAGTTCACAAAAAATTCTTGGTCAGTTATGAAGACCTTCTGGCTCCCACTGCTGGATTTGGAAGTCTTCATCCATCACTCTTCTGCCTCCACGTTTTAGGGCCAGCTAAATGTACATATCACAGCTTACTTCTTCCTTGGTAAATCGTTCACACGGTTTCGAGTATAATGGAGCATGTAGGCTGAACTTTCACACAGTGCAATAGTTTTGATCTGCAGTCACGGGCTTCTAAGGAATATGTGAAAGCAAGGAAGAAAAGCAATCCCCACCGTCGGCAGCTTTCAGTGCTGCACCTAAGGGTTGACTCCTCCTTTAGAAAATACTTAAGTATCTGCAGATGCAAAATATTGAAAACCATTGAGAGGCTAGTTTACACAAATATGAAAAAAATAAATATATATGCATATCCAAATATGCATATATATTTGTTTATGTGTGTATATATATATACACTTGTGTATATATGTATATGCTTAAAATCTGTACAAAGTATGCTTATTCCAAGCTCTCACGTTCAACTGTTTTTAATACTGAGTATACTGAGTCCAACAACATGCCAGGGTTTCCATTCTTACATTGGAGCTGGCCTCACCTTTTAGGTTAGACAGTGTTCCCAGCCTCCTGCTTGCATGAGCGTGAGAAAGAGAGGAAATGTGAGAAGGTCTCTTTTGTATTATTGCAGAAGTTGACGGCCCTTTCAGCATGTTCACTTTCGCTCTCACTCTGTACACTGCTGCCAATGCGGTAATTGATGAAAAATATATCTAAAGGTTTCTCTATGTATAATGTTCTTCCATGGATCAAAGTCTGGTTGCAATGGGAGATGGATCAGGCCCATAGAGCTTGCTCCTTGGAGGGTATGGTAGAGAGCTGCTAAACATCTAGGAGATGTCATTCCTGTGAGAAGCTGAGACATAGATTTTTATCTTCCTTGAGCTGCCAGAAGATTGTGAGAAATTTTGGCAATAACTGTCTAGCATAGCATTCGTTTTGAAGCTCTCAGAATGGTCTCTATTTTTCTTCTTTTATTTTTTTAACGAGATCTTCCTTTGATAATGATTCTGAATATTGTAAATCCGCTCTTACAGTATACTATATTGAAGAGAAACCCTCATTGTTATAAATGTAAATAACATGTAAGTGGTTGGACATCATAAAAATATAGTAATCTACATGGACTCATTTTCAGAAAGTTGTTATATAATGATTTAAATATAGAGAAATATATATTAAGAATTATCTTTCTAACAAATAGCAAAATATCTGCAGTTAGCATCTTTGTTTCTGTGTTGACCTTTGGAATCTTATTGTGTTGCCCTTTCACGGAAAGTCTCTTAAATTACGTTGAGGTACATTAGCAGTATCACTACAAGGATTTTCCTTCAAACTGCACAAACTCCTCTTGGTTTGGAGTACCAATAGGGGCTGTGCTTAAATTCTTTAGTTCTTAAGTTGACAGTGAATAAGACAAGCTTTCAAGAACTTGGACAGGCCAGGGGAGAACTTGGACAGACCAGGGGACAGTCTGGCTTTTTCTGTAGTTAGTTTTTCTTTAAAACCTCAGCGCTGACGTAGAAGCCTTTTGACAGCTTTCCACTGCTCTACGCTGTGCAACATTTAGCAAGACCACTCTTGTATTTCACTCAGTGGTGACATCCCTGTTATTGTCATTGGGACAACTTGAAGTTTGGGGGCTGTTCAGCTGTGCTGGCAAATTGGATTTTTCCCTTTCTGCTGCTGTGGGAAGGGATGGGGCAGAGAAGGAATATGGCTGGGACAGCCCAGGGAACAGCTGGGATCGACGGTCACAACTGCTTCTTTGGTGCATGTCAGCAATGATGGGAACGGGCCTGGCTTTCCCCACCACTAGCACAGCAAAATAGATAGTTTCATCCCCTTGTAGTCCACTCCCTAGGCAACTCTCCACTTGGTCAACACCCCGAGCAAGCCCTGGGCCTAATGCTAGTTGTATTTGAAGAGAAACTCCCTCACTTCAATGAGATTTTCTTCTTCAGAGAAGAAAAACCAAATCCAGCAATGCAGGGCTATTTCTTGAGCACCGAGGTGTGAAATGTTAGGACCAGCCTGGTAGACCTCCTGGCTCCAGCAGGCAAGGTGCATTTTGCTAATGAGGTATGTCAATGTGTAGATTATAGCCCGGACTGGTAAGTTCTCTCTAGGCAAGGTGACAGCCTACATGAAGGAAAGAAGAAGCAAAGATAGAGGATCTCAGGGCATTGAAAGGCAATGGAAAGGACCAAAGGAAAAGGAGGAAAGGAGGTGAAGCTGTACAGATAAAGGTGAATTTCCTGACAAAGAGTTGAAAAGCTCTGTACTGAGTAGGATCATCTCACTTAAGCTTAGACAATTATGTTGTAGATGTCTTTTGTGGTCTGGAAGAGGTAAGTTAACTCATTTTGTGATGAGTGGAAGGAAAGATGGACTTCTAGGGTGTGCTTTCTCTGCCCTATTTTCTTGTCTATTCCAATTTTCTCTAAGAGTGCCCGTTTCTCTCCACTGGCTGTGCAGGACATCAGATGTAGACATCAGCTTTGCAGATAGCTACACCTGATTAGATGAATCTCACACAGGATGAACCCTTATGGGACTCCATCTCATCCCTGAGGCCTGGCACACTGTATCTTAAAATAGCACTTAACCTTTGAAGTCATCTTCTTTTCAGTGATAATGCTATCCAGCTCAGGTGTCACATAGATCTTAAGAAGAAGAAACAAATGCATCCAATTTTATTGAAAAATTCATAGAATGACATGAAAAAGACACAAGCTTTGACTTCTTTTCCATCTCTACTATACATTTTTTAAAAACCCCGATATATATGTATAAGCAGTGCGTAGTATTTAAAGAGTTTGACACTAAGTAAGTGGAAGAAAATGGAAGTACTTCAGAAAAATGTGGTAATGAAATGTCAGTTGATAGCATATCTTTATTAATACCTGGGTGAAATTCTCTTAATTTGGGGCTGTAAGAGCCCATTCAACTCTGCTTATGTGAGGATTTCATCTGTTTTGAAAAGGAAAATTTATTTTTTGAATATGAATGGAAATAAACTGTGATAAAGTAAATGTGAGTGGCTGAAGGATAGAAAGGGACTAGTTGTTTCTGCAGCAGGGCTGATGATTTTCAAGGGGCTGTATATCTAATCTGATCATATTTGTAGGCTGATCTGCACAAAAGCCAGAGAAACCTGTGGGTGCATTTCTGATTCTAGGGTAAAATTCAGACAGTCTAATTTGTTTACATAATGTGTACCTAAAAAGTAGTTGCAAAATGAATTTGTCCTTTTAGAGGAAGGGTTTAAGTTCTCTGTATAGAGAAGAGAGTCAGGCACTGCAGAAAGTCTGTAGGAGTGATCTTGTTCCCTGCCTTGATAGCCTTCAGAGTTACTTACCTCTTTCCACTCCAGGAAACTTTTTGTTGGACTCATTTTCTGGGTCTCTAAGAGGTCAGCAAAAGCGGCCTTGTATTTGCAAACTGGATCCCATCCATAATTTTTAGCTCTTCAGTTTGTCATACTTAAGTGGCTGGCATAGCTGGATCATCAGCGAACACTGAAGAGGCATAGCAGGCTCCTTTAAAATTTGACTGGAAGTGTGTCTTTTACCAGCTTCCAATGTATGCCCATCTTTTCTTTTACAAAATTATTTCAAAGTCACATCTGTCCACTGACAATAGTGGA